GCTCTGAGTGACGCGCCCACGGGGCCACCAGCACATCGAGGCAACGACGTGCCCATCACCCCTGTGACTCCCACCCTTGGGGTCTGCGCCATCACAAGGTGGGTTCACGTCGTCTGGGTGTGCTCCTTCAGGCTGGCGACTTTCGCTGGCGTAACTGCTCTGGGACCCAGCGTGCTGCTGTGCGTGCGGATTGCGCATTTCACTGCCGGGGCCGCGTGTGTTCGTCCTGCACCTGCGGCCTGGGGCCACCCCCAGGGCGGCTCTGTGCACGCTCGTCACGAGTCCGCATGTCGTGTGCTCATCCTCTCGGGTCAGTACTGTCAGTGGAATTGCTGGGTCACAGCTCTTTGTTTCTTTCTTCTTTCTGTTATTTATTTATTTATTTATTTTGAGACAAGGTCTGGCTCTGTCGCCCGGACTGGAGTGCAGCCTGGAGCCTCTTTAAGGAACTGCCGGGCTCTTTTCTGCCCCGACCTCCCCGCTACGTCCTCCCCACACCTGGGGGAAGTGGCCACCAGCACGGACCATTTCACCCCGACCTTGACCCGCGGGAGCCGCTGCTGCTCTCCCTTCCCAGTGCTGCAGCGACCGGCACAGGGGACAACCCTAATTTGGGCTCAAAAACTGTTAACTGAACTTAAAGTCATCAAACTGGCTAATTTAGCACAGACAACTGCCCCACCAACGCCGAGGAACGAGCAAAAGGCAAACCCACATGCTGAGAGGTTTTTAATAACAAGTCCCCCAAACCAGCTGGAATAGAAGAAGAAACTTCATTTTCAGAACCCAAGATAAAAGAGTTTGCAGGCTAACGTCACACAGGTCATCAGAGAAATACTTTGAAATTCTAGAAAGGTCTGTAAATTAATCTTCCTAGAAGTTTCAAACATGCACAATGACTCGGGTCTGTATGGTGACTACAATTCAACGTGATCACCAAAATGTGCAGAGAGGAACAGATCTTCAAAAAACTCTGCACTGGCCGGGCGCGGTTCACACCTGCAGTCCCTGCGACTTGGGAGGCTGAGGCAGGAGGACGGCTTGAGCCCAGCTCCAGCAAGCTGTGATGACGCCACTGCACTCCACCCAGGGCAAGAGAGAAGACCTTGGCCGGGCGCGGTGGCTCACGCCTGTAGCCTAGCACTCTGGGAGGCCGAGGGGGGCGGATCGTTCTGAGCTCAGGAGTTCGAGACCAGCCTGAGCAAGAGCGAGACCCTGTCTCTACCAAAAAATGGAAAGAAATTAATTGGACAGCTAAAAATATATGTAGAAAAAATTAGCCGGGCA